CCGAGCCTTGCAGATTCGTGCATTCACCCCATCTGTCACACTACAATCAGAACTAATACAACTTCCAAGATACGTAAAGTGCTCCACAACTTCCAGTACCTCTCCCTGGATTGTAAGTGGCGTGTTCAATGACTGCACCTCCACTAGCATGACCTTACATTTTGTGGGTGCAAAGTGCACAGTAAAAGGACGGTCAGTTCATCCAAAAACACCTGTGCCCTCTCCTCCCCTTCGCAGATGAGGACGATGTTGTCTGCGTACTCCAGATCGACAGGGTTTTCTCCACAGGCTATTTGAACACCAGGGTTTTGGAGACCCACCAGCGTTCATCTCATTATTTCATGTATCACGAATTTAAGGACTTCTGGTCAGTGTAAAATCCGAATTCCAATACAGATCTCGTTTCTGGAAAGGAAGTCAGTCTATGCTGAAACGCCGAGAAACACTGTACCGCTGTTCCATCCTTATGAGGGATCATCAGCGATGCACATCTCACGAAAATTCAGGGGATTGTCAAACCTGTGAACTCTCGTCTAGTGGCTTGAACACTTAACTGTTTGGCCACAAAGGTGAATGCTTGGCAAAAGGGACTTATGTGCTGAACATCAGCCGTACTGCCGTTACCTGACGACGGTACCACGACCTTCCCGTCGTAATCGGGATTGAGTGCTGTAGGGATTGTGCGGGCTAAACAGACTGGAACGCCGATGCTAGAGGTGTATCCACACCAAGGCCAAATGCTAGCAGTCTTCGTATTTAGAATAACCATGAAGCAAGGCCGTCTGGAAGTAAAGGTGTACTGTGGGAAATTGAAGACAGTGAGGTGTTTCCACTAGGCGACCAGCATGTCCATTTTCATGGGATCAGCGATGCTGCCTTCTACGAAGTAGGGACGAAGAAGAAAAGCTCAGTACTATAAAACCGCATACCCTGATCACTCAACAGTTAATTGTGGCCGGTGCCGGATTATCCAAAACAATGAACCTTTCTGTGAACCCGATATGGCTCTATTTGCTATACATGGCGGCATCTATGCCTTTGTTCCCTGAACTTTCGGACTATGCCAGCCCATTCCGCCACGTTGGTCAAAACTGTGGTCGTTGGATCCTGGAAGAGTGCCCCGTGAAAAATGCTTATGTCACGCGGGGCGAAATTTGAATCAGCAGCTCAAGCTGGGGTATCTCAAACTAACCATTTTCCTTGGTTTAAAAACCCGGGAAGTATCACTTGCTTTCACACATCCGTACTACACACATCAAAAGATGCAATGCGGCTAGCTCATCTGCAAAAACCCAACCATTGTACTCTGTTCAAACTAACGCGCAGCAAAATAAATCAAAATGATCCCCCACTAAATCAGAATCTCCGATACACGTGGTAGTCTTCAGTGTCCGTACTCTTTGTCAAACTGGACAACGGACATTTCCTGATTAAACCTTGCTTTCCTTGGTGTCAATAGATGCCATGACTCCGAAACATGTATACAAGACTCCAGTGCGGTCGTGCGCTTCAAGGCAATATAGGGTGAGCTCAGAAGTACCACATTTCCGGCACCTGGTGATGCCAATACAATGTCGGTGTTGCAGTCAGCCTCACGACTGAAAACATCTTACTGGACTGAATCTCACTGAACAGTCTTCTTTGTGCTGTGCGGTTGTGTACTTCAATTAGGATTAACGCGTGGCGATGTGGTAAATCGTGCTAGTCCGTCGTCTTAGTATGAGCCTCGAAAGACTGCGGTCGTGTATGTGCGGAGCGGTTTTACCGAGGTCTATTGCCACTGCTTCGGTGAGCAAGAAGAACGGATATGGCTATCCTGGTGAGTAATAGGAACCCCCGAATTGAACGAATTAGCTGGGAGGAAGCGGAATTAGTTAGTGAATTTGAAGTCGATGCTTAACGATCAAATAGCGGGAAGCGACTAGTTCAATGGCGTACTGGAGATCGTCGGTTGCTGGTCAGTACGCACTTTCAGCACGAGCGTTCACATTTAGTTACTTGGGGGCTACCAACCAGAAGCCAGTTATGGACTCAGTTGCATCGTGTAGCTGACAGTTATCGACCACTGGCGTTCTTTCTGGGACACGCAACTTCACTATTCGCTCGGGGCGAGATGGCGCAAGTGGTTAGAGCGCGAATTTACTGACCGGAAGGTCCGTGGTTCGAATCCGACCTCCGCCACTCGACTTCCCCTGTCTAGGCTTGGGCAACCTGGCAGTATCCCAGCCCTCGTGCTTCCTTCGGGTGGCATGGCAGCTAGGCACCGAAAGGGTGCTACAGCTAAAGGCGGTTACCGGTTCGATGCCCCATAGGATTGCAAATTCCAAAGCAGATCAGGTCTGTCCATCAACTTCTACGAGTCTCAGTAGTTCAACAGTGTCCAGCGGACGTGGCTGGAAAGCTACTAGAAACACAAAACCACACTAATGACGAAGAGAGGGTTGAGGTTGACCGGAAATGGGCGAAGGAAACTATGATCTCAACTTCTAGAACTGTCCGACCAAGCCACTCAACTCGGAAAAATGGATACGGGATATAACGACAACCAGCTAATCTTACTGCCACCAGGAAAGTAGTATCCCCAACTAGCGGCCAAGACGGTGCACGCAAATCCACCAAGCGCCGGATAACAAAAAGCCTGAAGAACTGCGAAATTGAGGAGGCGGAGAAGACCTTCACTACAGACGACAGCAGCGACCTGTTTCGGCTGATCCGAACAAATGGCTAAAAGAACACAGGTTTTAGCGAAACTATTTGCGAAAAAGATCGAAAGGTATTTGACTCGATAAAATATCGCCTTGAGTGACGGGCCGAATACTCTAAACAGCTCACATGGTCTCCTTAAATACCACCTCTGCAAGAAACTACATCAGCCGGCCGTCAACGACGGAAATCCAAAGTGAAATATCACTTCACACTTCAAAGGTGATGAAGCCCTGGTAAGCGGAGTGACGATCTCAATAAGTATCGTTGGAACGAAAAGAGATCACCTGTGGAATGGAACGCCTCGATCGGCATCCCAGTCTTCTGAAATTACGCAAAAACGCCATACAGAAACTATCCTGGCATCAGCCTAGCAGGCGTCGTATCTAAGGTGCTCTCTGATATTACTTTGCATGAAGAACTCATGCTCCAAGGATTATGCTGGTTAGGGCATGCACTTCGCATGCCACAGGACCAGCTGTCTCACACAACTTTTTCCGCCCAGCCCTGTGCTGAGTGCAAGCGACCAAGTGCTGCACATCCTATGGCCTGGCAACGAATGTATGAGAGCACGAACAAGCAAACTCAGTCAGGTCGTAAACTACTATCTCTCTGGATGGGAATGGCTGGACATCAAAGCTCAATGACAATGACAGGCGAGGACCAATGAAGCAGGCAGTGGGGCTCATGCGTCAAATCTATTGCCTGCAATGCGTAGCCGGCAAGGTCAACCATTTCTCAGAGTAATATAGAATACGAACCAATTGACTATACCATCACCGTTAACACTAGCCCCGATCTCTCATGCTTCCAATTTTTCTGTGACCGAAACTGTAGCACCTGGATGGGTGAGTTAGCCCAAGTGGTTAGAGCGCGAATTTACTGACCGGAGGGTCCGTGGTTCGAACCCGACCTCTAGCTCTCGACTTCCCCTGCCTAGGCTTGGGCAAACTGGCAGTATCCCAGCCCTCGTGTCTCCTTCGTGTGGCACGGCAGCTAGGCACCGAAAGGGTGCTACAGCTGAACGGTAGCACCTAGAACCTTGGTCATGGTTTATAGTTGTTAGGCTAAATCGAACTCGTGACATGTGCAAACGATACCTAGAACGCCAAGGTGAATAAAATCCCTCTGAACAGGTGCATTCTACTAGTGAGGCTATTAGCATCCACACAGCTTACCTTAATCAGACCTTTGGTAAATAAAATTTCCACTATCTCTTTAAGAATTGGGATCAAATCCCCGTGATGTATTCCAATACCACGACGCAGTACGGACAGCAGCGTTTGCACCTGAGGTAGACGTTTGTCTTCCGCAGACAGAACATCAATAGCATCATTGAAAATCTGGTCAACTTCGGCTTTTTCGGTATCTATGGCGGAGAAAAAGAGTCTTGATATTATGTTGTCTGATCGGACAGCTGCAACCACTGTACAAACGCGTACACCGTTTTATATTCGTTGTTCTTAACAATAACAAAATCAGAGGAAGAACACAAAAGTTGACCGTAACTACGCACTTGAGACAACGTAACAGAGGAAAGGTAGAGGAAAGATATGGATGATCAACACTAACGAAGCTAACTGGGGTGAACAGGAATGAGGTAATCAAGAACAGTAAATCAGTCAGTCGATGCTGCTTCTGTCTGATTAAAATCTGGGAAATTTAGCAGTTTGTGGTCACGACATTAACCGGTTTAACTGAACCAGAAAGGTTGCAACTCAGGGGACGTTGTCCAGGACTCACTGAAGTCCCTTGGTTACAAATTTCTAAAATCATCAAAGTAGGTTTCAGCTATATGGACACATAAGAAAATACGTCACCCTTGTTGTATGAAAGGTGCGAATTGACTACCTACTCACCAGTGTTGTAATTCATCTTATTCAATTGCGTACCAAGGAATTCGCAGTCCTTTATGCTGAACAAGAAAACAATGACCGGTCCCAGGTTCCGTTCCATCACGAGGTTGACCAATTTGGCACAGTCGGATTGTGTACCTAGAAACCGATAAGGAAGTCCACCATTGAGATAGATGACTGGTGTGTAGTAACAACTGGACAGAAAGAGACCAGAGCCCAAGGTTACCAAAGTGGTGTGTGGTTCGAACCTAAACCAGACTTCTCGATGCTGTTGCCCGCGCTCGGGCTTGGACAGTATCTGAGGTCTTGTTCGTTTTCTACGTTGAACGGTAGCTATGAACCTAACCGACCAGACACAACATCAATTTGCGTACACATTGACAGTCAGTTAGCCGCATGCGTTACATGACATCTAGGAAGTGACGAACAGCCAAAAACCAAATAATGTACTCGGTTTCGGACTACGACAACAGAGACCCGGATAAGTTTAATAAACGATGATAAGCGGATAAGTTTGGTCACAGCAGTTCAAACAAGACAGACCAGCACAGGGACAAATATGCCTAATACAGAGTCAGGACAAGAAATCTCCCGTAGTTAAAAACCGTCCGACGTTGAGTCGCTGTGTTTTGGTCACTGTATCAGGCGATGGCTGTACCAAGTCAGGCTCGTGGTTAGAGCGTGAATTTACTGACTGGAAGGTCCTGGTTTGAACCCTACCTTTACCTTCCGACTTCTCCTGTCTAGGCTTGGTCAACCGGGCAGTATCCCAACCCTCGTACTTCCTTCGGGTAGCATGGCAGCTAGGCGCCGAAAGGGTCTTACAGCTGAGCAATTTTTTCGATAATTCCCAGCATGTAACATCCGAAGCTAACGCCTCATTGCAGGAGGCCGAAAACAGACAGCGAGCTACTCCAAAAACAATAAATCACCTTACTGAACAGAAGTCGGGTGTTTTCACGAGGTTTAATTAAGGTGGGGCGGGTGTGCCCACCTAGCAAATCTGACTGGTATACGGAAAAGGGACGCGGCAAAGAGAGCCTAGTGTCATCTGAGGACATAAAATTGCCCGGTAAGCTTATATTCTTTCGACGGAAGTTCATCATTCATCTGCAGTCTACTGATGAGCCCTAGGTGGCCAAACTCTGCAGGATAGTGACGCGACTGCCAACTGTAGAGGCAAGGATGACGTTGCCAACTGCTGAGGGTTGTGTTACAAAGTAACATAGACAACTCAACGTTATGGAGGCGGAATAGGCCAAATGATCTATTTCGCAGTCACAGTCACTCGGTGCCCATCCGAGACCATGGTTACGTCCACCACAGTTGCTCGGCGCTCCCGAACAGCGATTAGGTCAGGCTTGATGAAAGACGTCGAAGTAGGTGCTCTCAACTCCTCGAAAACCGTGTATCCCAGGCGATGGAGACGTTTTGCGAGTTCCTCTGCAACCCGTTTATGACGAGCATTTCTAACATCAGGCGTGAGCCCGCAGGAGTGCAAAACATACACCAAACTCTCCGGTTGGCCACAGTTTCCACGACAGAAGATCGTCTAGCCGTCACGGCCACGCCGAGTTTGCATCGGAGCTGGATACCGCGGATTAACATCCGAGGAAACAATCGTTCTGGAAACACAAGCCATCGATTCGAAAGAGGCGAAGCGACCAATCCTCCTAAACTGCGACCGTCAACGCTGTTGTGCAGACTATCACCTCAACCAGCCACCAGCTCTTCCTTGGTGTTTACGCACGCACCATGAACCCGGATCGGAAGGCTGAGATCCCGAACAATCTTGCCAAATGCGAAACCGGTGACCGCATTGCGTAGTACTCGGCACCGGGTGGACAGAAGCTTTTCCATACGCGCTCTCCGCTGCATCGGAATTGTTGCGCTCAGACTTGGGATACCAAGTCCCTCACGTTGTAAACCGACATGGAGGTAGCTGATCAGGGTGTCCTTCGGTAGACGTAGCCAGCTGCGAATAGATTGTATGATTTGATTGTGCAATCTTTTGAGCGTGTTTCGGTGGACTTGGCCGAGCACGAGCGAATATGTCAACCTCGGTATCAGGTAAATGTTCGTGGTCTCCATTCTTTGATGCGGCTTCAACGGAGCAGTTGCTATCGGTGGTTAAAGACCGTCGAAAGTAAAGGGAATGCTCAAATATGTGACGGTGTTTGTCGGGCCCAGAGGTGTGATAAGTTCCTCGGCCAAGCAAAGTGGTTCGACTGAGATTGATGTCGCCGGATGATTCCTGTCTCCACAAATCAACATCGCTTTTATCTTTCGGGCGTTTATCTTCATACCAGCTCTTCCAAACTCAACCGCAGCAGCTTCAAACTTCTCTTAAAGGCGAACCTGACCTACCGCACACACGATCCACTCATCAGCAACGGCAAAATCATCTACTAGGATATCATAGAACTGGTATCCCGGGTGTGGCATCGACAATCCAAGAACCTCATCCGTTGCTATGATGAACAATAATGAGGAGAGTGGATCTCCTTGCCTCACACCTCTGTGGCAGTGAACCTCGGAAATGGGGAAAACTGCCAGAATTCCCATTGGACTGTGATGGTGCTCCAAACGCCTCGGCATATCTAACGATTATGTCGAACCAAACGCTTTCGAGATATCAACAAACGCCAAGCTGAGGTTAGAAGCAGTCGCTGAAGAGTGATAAAGCAGGGCATGCAACAGCGATGTGGCTTCCAAATAACCGTCTCGATGCAGAAATGCAAACCGAAGTGAGGGCAGTTGCAATAAACGACTTCATTGATCAGCGAGCACTTTATGAAAGCATCGGACAATGATGGATGACACGGAGATCGGTCTCAGTTGGTCCGGTGAAGTGGGATTTGGGGCCTTCGGAACTACGGTAATATCTGGGGGACAACCCCCAGATAACAAGAATAAATTGAAATACCCAGGGGACACATTAGCACTGAAGCGACGGAGCATCCTGGGCGTCAGCTTGTCCAGGCCTGGGGACGAGTTGCCCATAACACGGATCGTACGGACAGCATGATCTCCTGTAATTGGCTCGATCAGATGTTACTACTGCGCAACCTGGCCGGCTATCCACGTGTTTTGGAGCTGCGAACTCGTCTAGAAGTAGGCCACAGTTACCTTTGTATAGATCTTTCCATGATCCATCGAGCACAGCAGACGCTGCATCTTTACGTCTTTGGTGGTATGGGGTCTTGATGGTGGCATAGTTAGCTCGGTGGATCTACTTTCGATTGACCGCCATCAGATGGGTTAGCTGACGACGGGATACAGTTTTACAGGTGTGTAGAAATGTTTTGGAAGCGTGGAAGTCCGAAAGCGACAGGACTTGCTCCAGTTTCATAATGCCAGGCTGCAGACCTCGGACAAATGCCAGAAGGTCAACACTAGCAAGCGAACTGTCAGCATGGGATTCCAAGAGGGGTACGGCGCAATCTACGGTTCGTTTAAACCAGATGTTGTGGTCACCGGCTTCTGATGAGTAGGCCACTATTTGACCGAGGGTTCGGCGAGGGCCTCCAGGGGTTGATTCGCCTTGTTGTGCTTGACAGTTAAGCACTCGTAACCTGGTTTTGATGCTGATAGCCGATCGACCAGGAAAATACTGCTCCACTCTCGCGAACAGCGCGGTTTGCGTGTCTTAATACGGATTAAAATTGTAAGTCATCATCCTCATCATGAACAAGTACAGATATTGTGTGGATGCTTTTCTAGCTCAATAAGTAGTGAGACAAAGTCATCATCATCATCATCAACGACAGCATGACATCAGTGCTCAACACCAATGCTTCACTGCCGTACAACCATGACTTATTTGAAAGCCTTATTGTAAAGAAAAGAATAAAGGTGGATGGGGGAGGGACTTAGTGCTAGCTTAACACAATCATTCTGAGGTGCCTACACCTCCAGATATTCATTCAGGCAACCTGGACAGAAACTGACAACAAGAACGCCACTGACATCGGTTGGATGCTATATCTTGTAGTGTCTCCAACCAGGCAGTGAGGATCACGCGGTCCCCATCCTGGAAGGCGAGTAGCACCGACAGCACTCAAGCGTTTCGTGATCTCCTTCATACTCCTCTGCCAGGTCATGGGTTGGCCACCTCTCTGTTTACGCCACTCCGAATTGGGCATGGAAAACAGTACTCTCTTCGGCAAACGATGGTTCGGCATGCGTAAAACATGTCCCAACCAACGCAGCTTCTGGTGCTGGACACATTCTTCAATGGAAGTACCCGTTACACAACCGAAAACACGCTTTCTAACTGAGTGAGACAAAGTGCAACGTCTGGACAGAAAACTAAACAATACATTCAATCTCGGTAAGGAAGAAACTCACGCATTGTTCCTATTTTCCGTCCGAGAATACTTGAAACTCTTCGCGTCTCACCCGCAGCCTTCTGAAGAACCGCCAACGCGGCGTGAAAGTTTGACTCAAGGAATTCTCGCTAAAAATAATTCAGAACTAGAACATATTAGTTCTGAAAAGTGTCACAGATAAGGTGGATAGTTAGCACCAGAATACTCCCGCGGTTCAGTGACGTTGATGTTAAATTTAAGAATTGAATGCATTGAATCAATCAGCTAGCCGACGATGACCGACTTCAAGACACATAGACTCACTTGCTGGTTGACTACGAAGTGGATCTTATCTCCGCCGCACGGAAATACATACTGTTGAAGCGGTACTGGTCGACAGTCCGTGTAGACTACGTGACAGGGACGATTACGTAAGTAGACAATCCATTCAGCGAATTGCCGTGCATTCGGGATCGTGGCACTGAGAAAAACCAAACCAACAGTGTGCGGGAGAAGTATAATGGTCTCCTCCCATACCACGCCACGTTCTTTATCACGGAGATAGTGGATTTCATCAAATACTACCCAGCCGACTTCTCGAGTAAAATCCAATCCCCTGAAATCAGGTGATACATAAGGAATCAGGACCAGATTGCAAACACTACGGATTCCAGTACTGCTAATTACAAATAAAGTGTTGCCGGAAGAATCGGGGTATGCTAGTGCACGATTCGTACTAGAAACAAGCGCAGACAGTCTACTTCAAGGAATGAATCATTTAAGATCCGGCTCACGAAGAGTATATAGTGCCATGCTCGTCCTAATATAAACATCACTACCCATTCCGCTGCAGAGCCAAGTTGTTCGCACAATATTTTTAAAATCGGTTGCAAATAACAACCCAAACAAGAGGAAACAATCACCTCCCGGAAAATCATATTCCCGTTTTTCCGTGGTTTGTACACGAGGGTCATTGTGTTGAGGCATATAGTTGTGCGGGAGAATGACCATATCTCAATGAGAGTCACTAGCTAGGCTAACGAGGGTTTAAAGCAAAAAACCTAGCTTGGTGTTCACCTGCTAGACAAGGTGGCATGCGACAGATCATTTACGCAGTAGCACCAACCTAGCCCTGAGAAAACTCGCGCTGAATACCAAACTCGTATCGCCCAACTGCTACTTTGTGACCTATTACAGGACTGAACTCCAGCTATACGTACTGAAGCCTTTTCCCACTCCTAAGATAACTGGTATTCACCGGAACAATCTATCCCCCACGAGATGGGGGCTTGGAAGATTTGCCCGCCGCATGGTTACATTATGATGTGCATTTATGATAAATAATATAAAGCGATCAATCGGAACACCCGTTTAAACTTAGGAGTACGTGGCGGTCCCCGCGGCGTAAAACATGGCAAGGTGCTAGTCACAAACTCCCTGCTCAGGGTGTGGGCGCCCTGGCAGTATCCCAGCCGCTGCTCAGGGTATACAGACCCATTTTTCTTGACTACCCCAATATTACACTGGTGTCCCATTCACTCTTCTCGACAATACTCGCTTAGTAACCAGTTAGCCTTATTTTTATCGTAGTTTGGACCGATCTTGTAGCATGAAATCGCCTGGACGTACTGCCTTTCATCCTACTTTTTTCAGGACATCGTCTTCATCTGTAATCAGCAGCACATCATCCATTGGGCTGGGGCGAAAAGGGCACGGCAAAAGAAACTGTCGGAAGGTGTGCATAAAACACGCGGGCACTAAGGCATGTTATGTCACAAGCGAATCGGTCAACGAACATAGCATACCTTGATTAGAGACGGGACCACACAACTAAGCAATAATAATGCTAATGCCGGGTGGTAGGTTCGGAATGACGAAGTTTCAAGAAAATCACAAGACAGAAGACAATTAAAAGGTACCACACGGTGATAGGTGCGGTACGCTGGCAGCTGACAAGGATGGCATGGAAAAGCCTAGGAGTTGAAACATAAAAAGGCTATTTCAAAGGTTCAAACAGACAGAGATTTTATGCAGCACTGGTTACATGAAACTGAACCAAAATGGATGAGGAATTCTAACGAAACAACGCATTTAGTTAGAAGTTATTAGACCCTATGTGCACAACACGGCAGCGTCCAGCGTCAGCTCTTGAGTGCCCAGCAGCACTCACCGATAAAGCATTGAGCGCAAAACCTCGGTTGTCATAATTAACACGGCTGATTCCGGTTTGGTTGTGTTGTCTCCGGTCATCAGTCCGACATCCTTGAATTCCGCGTTAAACTCTCGAAATTTCTGATTACTCAGAGCCTTAATAGGCGTTGTGTAGATGACCCGTTGGCGCTCCCTCAAACTCCGAGCAACTGCGTACCTGTGAATTGGTGGCAGAAATCAAGGAATATGCGACTGACCTACTCGGCGACAGCCGTTTTGCCAGCAGATGTGTGTGCAGAAACAATAACAGATTGCCCGTTATCTATACACAAAATGGCTTGACGTTGAAAATGATCCAGCGTAAAAGGGTAAGTTTTCGCCATTTTCACAATTGGAGTTAGGGGCTTCAAGGGCTCGTTGGCCGGATACACGACCTAGAATCAAGACAAATAGTAGAGAAGCTGATTACCTCATGTAAGCAACCCTGTCTGGAGCTCAGTATAGAGGTTTGACATCTGAATAGATCTAGGGAGCGCTTGGGTGGTTCTGACGACATTGCAAACTCTCTGAAGTGGTTGGGATGCTTCGGTGTGCAGATTTTTCAGTGATCTCAAACTCGTCGACAACAAGTTTGTCTAAAAGCAAATGAAGCAATGTCAAAATGTCCTTCAACACTCTTGTTATTCAGCTTGACAAAATAATCCGTACAAACCATGTAACAATTACAAGGGTTTCAAGCTACTGACCACCAGTGTTACCGTATCATAGCCCGTTAGGTGGCTGTAGCGATTACACGAAGAGGTGGCGCGTAATGAAACGGAATTCTGAAAACAACACATCAAACATACCAGGTTTAGGTGATTGTGGGCATGTCTTGAATGGGCCCGACCGCTGTTTACCGAAAGAAGCGTCGTTTTTACTTTCAAGAGGCACGTTGGGGACTTGAAATGGTAGTGTGAAATGAAGACACTCAAGTCCCATGTGGTACTCACGCCATCTTGGCGGATGCTCACCTGCTTCTGCTGGCAAATAACTTTCAAGAGTTGGGGACTTGAAATGGTAGTGTGAAATGAAGACACTCAAGTCCCATGTGGTACTCACGCCATCTTGGCAGATGCTCACCTCACCTTGCTGGCAAATGGTGTGAAACCTTTCAGGACATGGTACATAACCGATCCCAGTGTTTACATTAACGCTGCCCTTATTCTGGAACGTCTTCCGTGGGAACAAAATGCTCCATTACAATTCTCTTAACTGTGTACCTTTTACTAATGATTTCTACCTTCACGAGTGTACGGCAACAGATAACCACTAGGTACTACCGATGCTATACGGTCAACGAAGAGGATTGTACCTAATCCTCCGTAAATGAGCCGGGGTGAAAATAAGAATTGAGTTCGGATTTCTTTTTGGCTTCATACCCTCCAAATCACCACATACGTGGTGTTGGGTTGGGGTAATCTGAAGTCTGTTCTAGGGTGGACAGCTGCTGTGTGAAGTGCAGAAAAATCTAAAAATTTTCAGGATTGTGAGCATATTATTAACCCACTATATAATAATCTACAACACAGCGTTGGAGGAGAGCTTATACTGTCTGCATTTCCCGAATTATTACACCTGTATCGGCGCTCCCACATATTGCGCCCCCCACACTGTAAACAAACTCGTAGAGAAAGTTCACACTTCTTGACTGAGGTTCATTTTTTGCTTGCACGACCGTTCGAAAATTGGACGAAATAATGTACCGGACAGCGACGACAACCGAACCTAGCGCGGTAAACACTGTAATGTGCCGACGGATGTCAAACTGCGCGCCATCGTTAATCACAATCTCTTTTGCCTACTTTCAGAAGCGGCGGCGGTAACGATGGTAGAAAATGAAGACATCGCTGAATACCGGACAGATGATTGCCCTCCCCAGTGACTACCATCGTTTGATGTTTATGCGCTTGTAACCCCTGTTTTCCCGCTGCTCACCCTCTCTCCTAAATCCCCACGTGTTCAGAGGTTCGGATAATAAATCGTTGAACCTACGCTGTTGTGCTTCTATGTGGACAGTTAGCGAGAGTTACCAACTTACTGTTACATCCAACTAATACACCACATTCTCCTTTTCAGCCCACCCGGCTGCTATCCTCAGAACATCCGCAAAGTGAGTTGAGATACTTTTATACACGCAGACATATTACAACATAATCAGTCGAGGGTGTATCAAAACAAAACGGTTTAAAAATGGCTTCATATAGCAATTCAATATCTCATTCCTTCTGGTTTCCTTAATTTGAGAATGCGTTTATGCAAAAACTACTATATTCGGATTGTGTGCATGACGGCTGACAGTGGTGGTAACTGTAGTGACCTGTAATCCCTTGTTACATAGTTACCAGTTTTCCTGAACTTAAACTACATTTCTAACTGGCGTACATATTTAATCATGACGTTTACTTTTAATGCCACCAATACAAGAGTTTCAGGCGCGACTTGCGAACTTCTTGCTGAACGCGTGTAGTTACGCCCGATGGCCTGTGTGTTGACTGCTGAACCAGTGGGCCTGGATCTCTGTGTCTGCGTCAACTGTTGAATGCCACAATAAATCCCGGTGACATTTCTCATCCGTGAATATATTTCCTACCGTGGAATACATAACTCAAACGTGAATCACCCGCGGAAAATTTCTAACGGTGAATAATTATCTCACAGCCGCTTACTGCATTTGGATCGCTGCAGTGGACTATTGCATCTGTAGTGGTAAACGGCCCTATGGAGTCTCTAGTGAACAAAGCAAATTACTAATGCAAGCCAGATACAAAGTCACAAGGAGAAAAATACAAGTAACTCTTGACTCACAGTTCAAAATGAGATTCCGTAGTTCCGTATTCCGTTGAACCACCACACCAAGAATAATTCTATCTTCCTGGTATCCCAGATCTCCGGTGATCGAAATATTAATCCACAAGTGTGAATATATTAATTCAGTGTTTGCAACTGAAATGTTTGTTCATGTGTAGTGTTAGCAGCGGTCAAATATAGCCAATCGGCGATCACAACAACAGTCACTCAGCAAAAGTCT